ATTTTTTTTATATTAATTTCTTGGGCATATCGAACCAAGGCGAATTTATATAAGGTGATAGCAGGAGTACAAAAACAAAAACTTACATGTATTTTGTTTTTGCTTTGGCGGCATAAACTGTCAAAATCTGTAAGTGTGTGTGGAAATTCAAACAAAATTTTTCAATTTGACATAAGAAGCCGTGAGGCGAAACACATACACAAAATCAGCTGATCTAGTAACACCACCTTATATAAATTCGCCTTGTATCAAACATTATCTGAAACATGTCAACTATAATTAAATTATCTTCTTACTTTTTAACCGACTTCCAAAAAAGGAGGAGGTTATCCGTTCGTCGGAATATTTTATTTTTTTTTTATGTATGTTACCGCATAACTTTGGACCACGTCAACCGATTTCGATAATTCATTTTGCATCGGAAAGGCAGTGTCTCAGAGGTGGTCCCATACTGGTTAAGATCCGATCAGTGGATCATGAGATATATATATATATATATTATTATTTTTTATATGAGAGTTGAAGTCGGTTTTTTTTTGCTAAAAATTACTTGTTACAGTACAGTTTAAGGAAGTTACAACGTTATGCAAAAACCTTAAGAAAATCCTAAAGGTTTTTGTTTGAATTGAAACATCAGTACAAATCACCACAAATTTTGAAAAATCAGGACTTTAGCGTACTGATAGCAGAAATGAATAAAATCAGTACAAGAGTTGAAAAATCAGTACTGTACTGATAAAATCAGTACGTCTGGCAACCGTAGCTCGTCTCCACCGTACTTGAATAGCTCGGCTGGCAGGCCGTCAGCTCCAGCAGCTTTGTTACTTTTCAGCAGCATAATCGCCATTCGTACCTCGTCATAGTCAGGCGCTGAGACGTTGACTCTATCATCATCGACTGGGGCCTCAGGTTCCTCTTCTCCACTTCTTTCAGTGCTGCTGCCATTCACAAGGGTCGAAAAGTGTTCCCTCCATAATTTAAGTATGTTCTTGACATCGGTCACTTGGTCGCCATGGTTGTTCCTACAGGAGTCTTGAAACCTCCCGTAAGTGACTCAACTCTCTGATAAAGGTTAGGTTAGGTTAGGTTACACTGGCCGGCTGATCCGCCTTACATAGACCCGTTGGTCCTTTGTAGTGCCAGATGGAGGTCCGTTTTACTGCGATCTAAAGTAGTCGTCGTATAGGACGTCAACGCTTTTTGCGAAGTTCAAGAGTGCATTAATATCCAGTTTTGAAACCTCCTCTAGTCCTTTGAACTGCGAAGCTCCGAGATATCTAAGACGATTTCTAGCTAAGGCCGGACAGAAACAGAGGAGGTGTTCTAACGTCTCACTCATGCCTTCCTCCCTGCACTTCCTGCATGCGTCACTGGTACTAATGCCCATTCTGCTTGCGTGGGATGCCAGTAGGTTGTGGCACGTCATTAGGCCGACAACTGTCCTGCAATCCCTACGTGACCGTGTAAGCAAGAAATGGGTGTTTCCTTTGCTGCTATTGCACATGATCTTGGTGGTTTTGTATGTCGCTAATGCGTTCCATCTCCCCCTGATCCGGCACCCAGCTCTTTCGGAAATTTCATTATAGATCGTTTTTAGCGACTTTTGTATTTCCCGTACTGGTTCGCTAGCAAGACGGATGGCACTTTTGGTAATCTCATCAGCTATTTCGTTGCCTAAAATGCCCTTGTGGCCTAGAACCCAGTATATATGCAGCCGTTTACTCTCGGCCGCCCTGTCTCTTGCTTCCCTGCTTCTAAGGACATTTTCTGATGCAATACGATGTGAGATTATGGCCTTAATCGCCGCCTGGCTATCGACATATATATTGATATTTTTTATATAGTTTCCTGCGTTGCTAGCTATCTCAGCAGCTTTCCCTGCAGCGAAGACTTCCGCCTGGAAAATACTGCAGTACTCTGGAAGCTTGAAGGGTTGCCTGAGGTCTAGCCCGGCGCAATAGACTCCGGCGCCCACTCCATCAGCCATTTTTGATCCATCCGTGTAGATGTTATACGTTCCGCTGGCGGGTCGCGTGCTCATGCGCCATCCGCCGTAGCTTTAAACCTTCCTTCCCAGATGAAGCGTGGGGGTATGTGGTCTATTTTGTCCTCCATCCCCCTGCATATCGAGCTGTGCCCGAAGGTTCTTGCGGAGAATTCACCTAAGGCCATCAATCTCGTGGCGGATTTCGCTGCAGTGCTCTCCACCGCGATGTCGATTGATGGTAGGTCAAGTAGCCTTTCAAGTGCCGCCGTTGGAGTGGTCCTTAGCGCTCCTGTTATGCACAGTGCAGCGAGCCGCTGTAATCGCTCCAATGGTTTTCTATACGAAATTTTGTTTGCAGCGGTCCACCATACCAGAGCGCCGTAGAGCAATATCGGCTTAACTACCGCTGTGTAACACCAATGCATGAGGCCAGGGGATAGGCCCCATGTGGTACCCAGCATCCTTTTACATGCGTAAAGGGCACCACTGGCCTTTTTCACCCTTTCCTCCACATTTAGCTTCCACATCAGTTTGCTGTCCAAAATTACTCCCAGGTACTTGGTGTGATCCTTGATTGATAGCTCCGCCCCGTTGAGCCTCGGGGGTTTCCACGCGGGGATTTTGTACCTTCTTGTGAAAAGTACCGCATCCGTTTTGTCAGCATTTACCTCTAAGTTGACTGTTGTCGCCCATCGATGTACGACCCTTAGAGCGCTTTCCATTACGTTACTGATGGTGTCTAGGAATTTCCCCGTAACAACTATAGCTATGTCGTCCGCATAGGCAATTAGTCTGGGTGCTTTCCCTTCGAATTTTCCCAGAAGCTCATTCGCTACGAGTAGCCACAGGAGTGGTGACAGAACACCACCCTGAGGAGTTCCTCTATGCGCTAGTCTAAGCAACCTGGCCTCGTTCCACTCCGCCTTAATTTTCCTGCAGCTCAGCAGGCTTTTTATCCATAGTAGGATGGCAGACTCTACCTGGGCTGCTTCTAGGCTTTCCATTATTGCCTCATAGGAGACATTATTAAATGCCCCACTTATGTCCAGAAAGACCCCTAGGGCATATTCTTTATGCTCCAGAGCATTTTCTATTACCGCGGTTAGTGAGTGAAGTGCAGTCTCAGTGGATCTACCCTTCGTGTAGGCATGCTGCGCCTTTGATATGCTGGCCGACGGCAGCTTATCCCTAATGTAGGCGTCCAGAATCTTTTCGAGCGTCTTTAGAAGGAATGAGGTTAGACTAATTGGTCTCTATTCTTTCGAATAGAGGGGATTTCCCTTGCCCGCCTTCGGTATGAATACGACCCTCGCCTCTCTCCAAAGGACAGGCACATAGTTTAGTCTTAAACATCCCTCGTATATTATTTTCAAGTATGGTGTCAGCACTGCGGAAATTTTTTGTATCATGGCTGGAAAGATACCGTCTGTGCCTGGGGACTTAAACGGCCCGAAGCCATCGATTTCCCACCGTATTTTTTCTTCCGTTATGATGTCCGGGGGGACATTTTCCACGCTATCTCCTAGAAGTTGCAGATCTATGCTGTCTGTATACCCCGGAAAGTGTGTGTTGACTAGGTCTTCCAGTGAGTCCTCACTGCTTCCAGTCCACTCTCCTCATTTTTTACGTAGTAACCTTGGAGTAGTCGGGTTCTTGGATAGCAATTTCCTTAGCCTGGCTACCTCGGTTGTTTTTTCTAATTCGCCGCAGAAGCTCCTCCACGACTCCCGCTTGCATTTACGAATCTCTTTCTTGTATTCCTTAAGTACTTCCTTGTATTCCATTCAGCAGAACTCCCTAACAGAGTTCCTTAACATTTTTTCTGAGTGCTCCGAGCCCCCTGTTCCACCAAGGTGGCTTTGAACCTCGATTGGCATGTAGCGGAGGGCATGCGATGCGATAAGCTTTATTTAGAGTGTTGGTAAGTGAGACTACCAGTTTCTCCAATTCAGAGTGGGAGTCACTTACCCTATACTTGGTTAAATTCTTCCTCACTACCCTTTTATACAATTCCCAGTTTGTATTCCTGTGATTTCTGAAGGTTTCGCTTTTTGTACGGGCTGAGAATTTTACCTGAAATCCTACATACCTATGGTCAGAGAACGAGGGTGTACTAAGCAACTCCTAATTCTGTACTCCGATTCCCCCACTAGTGTGGAGTGTTATGTCAAGGACGTTCTTCGAGGTAGGGCCAATATAAGTTGGTTCTTAAAGCCGGTTAGCTATATCTAAATTACTCATTAATATAAAGTTTAGTAAAGACTCACCCCTTTCGTTGGTATCTCCACTCCCCCATACCATTTTGTGCGCATTGGCATCCGCGCCTATGATGAGTGGGCGTTTCGCCTTCTCGGCCTCTCCCACCAACCTCCGGAGCTCGTTTGGTGACGCCTCCTCGTCGTGAGGCATGTAACAAGATGCAAGGAGTATTATGTCATCCTTACCATCCTTCACAGCTACCACCGTCAGGTCATCTGAAGAGAAATTAAGATCAATATAAGAGTGTATACTTTTTTTTTACCAGTATAGCTGTTCTTACCCTGTTTGTTGCACTCGGGATGTGCGTATAGTATGTTTGCGACTTTATTACAGATACCACGTTTCCCGACGCTATCCATGGCTCCTGGACTAACGCCGCATCGTAGCCGATCCTATCTAAATTGAGGAGGAGCTCGGCAGATGCGACCTTGCTTTTATGCAGATTTACCTAAAGAACCTTCACTGTAAGGATCAGGATTATTTTCGGGGTCGGGTAGAATCTCCGAATCACCCTTCTCGGTCTCCTGGAGCTTCAAGGTGGCCTCCAGGATCTCTCCCAGATTCTTCTCGACCTCTCGCTCCTACAGTGTGTTAACATTGTTATCGGCCAGGCTTCGCTTCTTCAGGCGAAGGTATACGCTACCTATGCCCCACGCCATCTTCCCGAAACTAGCGTACAGTATGTCTTCGGCCGGCTTGTTTATTTGGAGGATGTAATTTTGGCTGCCATCCTCCTTACAGGAGTTGGTGACCTTTAACACCCTCCAATCTCCCGTCGGCACGTCTGGGTTCTGTCTCTGCAGAGCCGCAGAGCATTCTCCGGTTTTACCGTGCGGGGTATGAGCACCTTCGCTTTCGGTATGGACGGTATGCAGCTGCGGTCCACAACCTCCAAGACGGCGCCCTCCCACAGGCCTTGAAGCGTCGCAACAGCTTCCTTTACCCATAGTGGAGAGGGATCGTCCTTACATCTTATTATTTTCACCCCATTTAGCCACCCCGCACCATCGAAAGTTGGCATGGTCGTGGTGGGGTCCCCATCCATTTTTGCGACGAGCGCATCCAGCAGCTTATGCTCTACTGCTCCCCAGCGCTCCTGAGAGATTTGTCCCAGCGGATTGCTCCGGTCTATGAGTGCCACGATAAGGTGTCTTCTGGCTATCTCACTGGCCATTGCCGCCGCTCTCGATGTTGTCGGTTTCTCTAGATCGAGCCTGACGTTTGCCTTTGCAGCGTCGTCTCTGCGCCTCGATTTTTTGGCTGGCCTTGCTGTCTCGCTTTCAGAAGACCGCTGCCTTTTAGCAGCGATTCCTTCCTCTATCCGGTTTGCGAATCCCGGATCCGTAGCAGTGAATCGTGGCCTTGCCGCGTAGTACGCCCGGCCTTCCTCCATTTTCTCCTTAGCCCAAGCCAACCTTTCCTCCTCTTCCTTCGTCCGGTTGGACATCCAGCTAAGTCTCTCGTGGACTTTGACCGCCGCCTTGTATATGGCTTTAGCCTTCAACCCCTCCTTACTGGGTTTTGCCCTAGGCCTTTTCTTTGATGCCGAACAAGCACCTTTGGCATCCCCCGGAGAGCGTAGCAAGGCCTCCTCTTCTAGTGTGTTAACGCTCTCACCGCTTTCGAGGTCCGAGTCTTCGTGGACTGTGGCACCCCTGCGCTGTAGCGTCGCTTTGGCGGTAACACTACAACCGCTGTGAACCGCTCCCTTCACAGCGGAGGTGTGGCCGCTGGCGACACAGGGAGTAGACTCGCTGTGCCCGCCGGTGGTAGTAGCCACTTCTCCCACCGACGTTTGGGCTGATATCCCAGCCCGCTCTTCTTCCTTTCTAGCCTCCATGGTGAGTTTTTATGTCAGGGAACCTCTACCCCTAGCGTTTTATGCCTACCGCCAGGTACCTCGTTAGCAATGGCAGAAGTAGGCATACACCCCCCTCCCCCAGTTTCATATGCAGAGAAAAGCACTAGGAAGAGAAGGATGGATACGTATTCCTGCCTTCGCTAGACGCCGCCTGCTCCCACCGCCAAGACCCGCTCTAGGTACTAGCCTAGGTGCTAAGCCATCGCGGTGACGGCAGCGACGCCCATTGCCCAGTCGGCACCCGCGGGGAGGATTTAGCTAAGAGGATTTTTGCCGACCACTCTCTGATAAAAAATGTCGGGTGGTTTTTCTGTCGGCCAGCATTTCAAGCTCTTCGCACTCACGTATTTCGACCTCTCTCTTCCTATTGCGGCAAATACGTCTAGTTTTCCTCTTCAGTTCCCTATAACGGTTCCACATGGCTTGCGTTGCGCCTGATCGTAGCGTGGCCCTGTAGGGGGCATCCTTTTTCTCTGCCGCTTCTTGACGCTCTTCATCGTACCAGTAATGAGCGGGAAATGTGTGCTCACATATGTTGGTTTATTCAAGAGTGCTCTCTCACAGCAGGTGTGAAAGTCGAGTGGCGAATCAATTGGCCGTCTGTTTCGATTGCCGGTTTTCGACGTTGAGCCTTCCTTGCATCGTTGGGCGCACATTTTTTGCTGCACCGAGGCGGATGCGTATCTTGCTTGCATTAAGACAGTAGAGCGAGCCGATGTTTGGCCCTCGGAGTGTACGTATGTACATCAAAAACACTGTAAGCATGCCTTCCGTCTATCACAACATGCTCGATTTGGTTTCCCGTTTTTCGATTTTCAGACAGCCATGTAGCTTGATGGATCTTTTTATGCTAGAACCTAGTACTACATACTACCAAGTTTCGGGCCCCGGCGAAGTTAATCAGCCTCAGCCCGTTATCGGATGTTTCGTCGTGGAGGCTAAATTTTCCTATAGTGGCGCCAAAGCTCCCTTCGTTGCATTGCTTAGCATTGAAATCGCCAAGCACGATTTTTATACGTATCGAGGGCATCGCTAATATGTACTCTCTAAGCGCTCATAGAAGAGATGCCTCGTCCTTCTCACCCATCGGGGCATTGGCATATATGAGCGATATGTTGGAAAATATTGCTTTGACGCAGATTGTGGCTAGACGTTCGTCCAATAGAGTGAACGCCGATACTCGGCGATGGAGTCTCTCTCCCACCACAAATCCGACACCGAATTTGCGCTCCTTTACGTGGCAACTGTAGTAGACGTCGCAAGGCTCCACGCTTACCTTCCCTTTCCCGTCCATCGCATTTCATGGATGGCGATGTGTTTGGTCGCCACCCAGATAATTCATGGATACAAATATCGGGACGCAGTGAGCTGCGATTTGAACCGTAAGCACGCGAATAACTTCTGACCGCTCCCAGGTGAATGTGCAATTTTTATTATAGAAATTTTGATTTGCTTGACCTTAGTTTGTCGGTCCAAACAGGAATCTTTATTTACGGTTGATGGATAGCTCGTTTCCAATGGATGGTGGCAAGAAAGTGGCTAACTTACGTGTAATGATTTTGGTATTACCGGCTTATGGTGACTCAATTGCAGTCAAATGAATAGTCCAGATTTGATGCTCACAACTTCTTTATTCTACGCAACAACATGGCTGGGGATTTGCCGGAAGGAATGTGACGGCACCTTTTGCCTCTATTAACTCGATACAAGAAAAAAGGCTTTTTACAGTCAGCCTTTTTCCTTATATTTGCTTGGACGCAGTCGATTTCACTTTCCACTGAGGGGTGAGTATCGACTCCCCGAATGTCGCCAGCTTTTTTAATACAAGCTTTTAATACACTTTAATTACTTGGTTGTAATTCCGTTCCTGCGAGGGCTGATGAGTGTGGTTCGCTCCGTGTCCAATTCGGAAAAAAGAAAGGAAATATCTTTTTCTAGCCTCGTGGTATGTGACCACCAAATCTTTTATCGTATGTCAGTGTGGGCGTTTTCATAGTCGCCATGTCAATTCGTGTCTATACTGATATAATGGTTCGTGTCTTGAATAACTATTGGTTACGTACATTTATCTGGCAATCCCCCCCATTTTGAAGTTTAGCTTTGACAGTTTTGTTATGTTTACATTTCTCATAATCGTTCTTATGTCTATTATTTGGCCAATAAAAATAATAGATCAATTTATGTGCGTTATGTGTTTTCTGCCATCTGCTGTAATTACTTCAGAAGTAAATTTCTTGACTGTTCACCAAACCGGTCTATAGTTTTATGAATAATCTTGGTTCTCTGATACAAAACTTTCGATGTACGCTTAGAAGACACAAACCTAAAGACAAAGTAATAAACAATTGAACTATAAATTTATTTCAATCCATTTTCGCTCATTGTCGACTGCAGCCAGGTTTTTACCTTTCATAAATGGAAGTGCTTTAAAATGAGCGAGAATCACTTGATACAGAACCGGATAATCCGCATCCACTTTTTTAATCAATTTACTAATTACTATTTTGTTAGCATTGAGTGTATAATTTGTTATTTAGTAGTATATACATACATAGGAAAAAACTTGTAAGTTAGGGAGGGAAGTGGGGGTGGCCGAAATGATCGATCTAGCATTTCCTCGTACTATTTTTGAATATATAGACATTGACCAAAAGACCTACAATTCGAATTTTTTCGTTAACTGCAAGGTCATTACATTTGGAATTACTATACACATTTCCTGGCTAGTTTACAAAAATTCATATCCATTAGGGTGCCCATCGAAAATACTTTATTTAGAAATTTCAAACCCCTACTCTATAATTTTATTCGTTTTTATGAGAAACATTATTGCCTATTTTTATAGATTTTTAAAGGTCATTTAGAGCTCGCGAATTGTCGATTTAGGTCAGAAAAAATGATTTTGTAGATTTATGCGTTTTCGAATGACTATTTTTGTTTCGATTATCTGAGAAGAGGATATATAGGCCTTTAAAATGGTATACTATAATAATCTATTGTCGGACTTGGCTGTTGGGATTTTTTATCGGGTAAATTAAAAAAAACCCACATCTCTCTTGATTTTTTAAATTTTGACCATAATTTCCACAATTTCAAAATTAAATCTATTTTCAATAAATTGATAGCTAATTTATTGCAATCGCATAAAAACTGTCGAAGTAAGGCGACTTTTCATAAATACGTCATTGAATTTATATTGTTTATGTACCGGACTTTCATATTTTTGAGCAATGTAGCTAAGGAATTCATCAATATTTATTCAAAATTGATATATACAACCGCTCTTTAGCAAAAAATTAGTTTTCCAAAAAATTTTAGGAAAACGGGGGTCGCACCTCCCACTTATATCATATATGCGTATCTCAAAAACTACTCGAGCGATCTCGACCAAATTTGGTACACACATTGCGCTTAGGCTTCTTAAGCACCATATTGAAAATTTTTGAAATCGGAATCGGAGGATTTCAAAAATATTCAAGACGGAAGCTCTTTGCCTACCCTAATGTTAAAGTAGCAAACAAAAAATCAAAATAAAGCTAAATTTATCGAAAATAAAACCCGAGTTCAAAAAGTGTTAAAAAGCGGAGCTTGGTTAATAATCAAGTCAATCAGGGGTTTGGTACAAAAATAATGGAACCTGGCTCGGTTTTTTTGCGATTGTTGCCGCAAAAATAACTCATTTGGATACATATCTTAATTTAAAACTTTTCTCTGTTGTTAAAAGTCCCCTCTTGAGGAAAATGAGTAAAAACCAAAGAGTACAGTAATTTAGCAACCTAAACAAGAAGCTTGTACCTCAGTAATATGGAAACCAATGTGATCCTGTATTTACTGATTTCGCGAAATTGTTTGACAGGGCTAAATCACATTATCTTACTCGATTAACTAGATCACACGGGACTTAAGTCGAACTTTCTTAAATGATTTAGCTCTTATCTGACCGATACAACTCAGTTCGTTCACATAAAAAACACAAAATCAGATGTTTTATATGCTACCTCAGTTGTGCCTCAAGGCAGTCACTTGGACCCACTTCTATTTTTAATTTTTGTTAATGGCATCCCTGAATTTATCAAAGAATCGTCTTGCCTTACGTATGCAGATGATCTGAAAATATTTCGAAGCTTAAAATCGATATCAGACTCCTTTAAACTACAGGAAGCTTTATCGAAGTTACAAAATTGGTGTGAAAGTAACTCATTACTTCTTAACGTCACCAAATGCCATGTTATGTCATTCAGGAGACGCTTGGCCATAATTAAACAGCGATACACGATTGGTAATTCTGATCTCTCACGAATTCACGAAAAAAAAGATTTGGACGTTATATTCAACAACAAGATGTGTTTTTTCAAGCACTTTGACTTTATGATTGCCAAATCTAGGTCTATGCTTGGGTTAGGGTGGCCAGATGCGCTGATTTAATCAGTACATGTGCTGATTTGTTTCTATTGTACTGATTTTTAAGAGCCCGAAATCAGTACGCAAAATCTACTGATTTTTTGAGTTTGTACTGATTTTGTACTGATTTTTACATTTAATAAATACTTTTGTAAATTGGTGTAATTGACATTTGCTTGAGGTTTACATGTTCAAAACAATGGTTTTTGACAACTCATACGTGTGAGCAGATTGAAACCATTATTAAAAAGGTGTCAGCTTGCAATTGTTTCGTTTCCTAGGATTTCGCAAAATAACAAACTGTTTGGATTGAACCCCACCCAACTTCACGATTTGCAGGTTTTACAGGATTTACAGGAAAAGCTGGTTTCGCCATTAATAAATCTTATGAAAGGTGGTGGTGAGTTAATCATATATTAAGTACACTTAGAAGATGACAATAAGAGATAATGTTTTGATTATAATTAAACATCCACTGATAAATCGGCTGTCAGTATGTCAAACTTAAGACGACTACTGCTACGGAGCAATGTAAGTTCTAAAAATTTGGAAAAGGTGCATGATATATGTAGCTTTGA